ACCGGCCATGACTCGTCAGCGTTAACATCATCATCGTCATCATCAACAACGCGTCTCAATAAGAACAACGCACCTTCCAGTCGTTGTCGTAGTCGATGCCCGGAGTGCCCTTGACCCGCTTAATGAAGTTATTCACCTGTGACGGAATGTCTGCCCGTGTGTCCAAACAGCCAACTTAGAATGGTCACGGTGTGCGTGTGCGGTGGTGTGTGTGCGGTGGTGTGTGTGCGTGTTGGCCACCGACCTTGGATAATGGCGCCGGTGACGGCTAGGTTGAGGTGGGCGCCGGCGCTGTTGATGTCGCCCTTGCCCGTGGAGAGGCCCTTGATGTCGGGATTGTACTTGCGCAGGATCGTGCCCAGCGTGAGCACCTTGTCGACCGGGCCGTCCCCACCAACTGCAACGCCACCGCCAGCCCGCACCATTACCGCCATCACCGCCATCATCACAAGAAGGTCACCACCCAGTCAGCGGCGTTGCTACGTTGAATCACAACCACCACATTGATGAGAGAGTGAGCGGCGCACTGGCGTAGGAGACGCCGCGGAAGTCGTTGAAGAGAGTGAAGATCGTCCCCGCCAAGGCGCCGAAACCTGCGGTGAGGCTGGTGTGCAACTACACGTTAGTGGGCCGCGAGCGAGGAATGATATGGATGTAGGAGAGGCGGGTGGAGCACCTGTCGCCGAGGGCGCCGAGGACCTTGATGTCGGCGGGACGCAGGCGCTTGGCGCTGGTCGGCACCGGGTCGCTGGGGCCGTACACCTCGCACGGGAACTCCACTGCTGTTTCATTCTGGCCGTCTGCAGCCACAACTCAATTATTATGCCCAAAATATACATTTCAATCCAAAAACATGTGATTTATATTCACCCATTTGTTATATAATCTAAATAAATAATCCATTAATAAAAAACCTATTTTTAGTACCTTTGTTGGCCGGTGGGAGGTTGATGAAGGATTCGTCCTGGGCGAGCTTGAAGAGCACGAGGGCGAACTCCTCGGCCTTGTCGTGGGGCATGTGGGGCCACGTCTCGTGCACCTTCTCCCGCAGGAACCGCAGCTCATCTTCGTACGGCACCTCGGCACCCACCAGCGCTACCAGTACAACCACCGCCGCGAACACGCCCACAGTGCTGTGGCGCTGCATCTTGTCGTTGTTCAACAACGTGTTGACTGAAGAAGATGAAGACGATGACGTGAAGTGTTCGTTCGAGAACGCTTCAAAGCTGGTGTTAACGAACAAGACCGTGCCGTTTCGTCAAATTGGCTTGATATTGCCAAGAATGCGAAAAATGCGCGTGTGTAGCACAACAGAGTTTGTAAGACACACGACCGTGTGCGACACACGAGAGAAGGACCACTACTGGACCTTCTTGGCCTTCTTTGCGGTCTTGGCCTTCTTGATGCTGTCGGCGCTGGGCTTGGGCTTGGCCGATGCTGGTGCTCGGGCGAGGTAGTCGTCGACGTACTTGCCCAGGATCTCGATGGAGAGACCGGCAAAGACCAGGCCCACGGCGAACCACTTGGTGAGTGAGAGCGCGTGGCCGAACCACAGCACCGACGCCAAGATCGTGAAGAACTTGCGCGTCGTCGTCGCCACCGTCAGCACCAGCGACCCAAAGTGCTGCGTGTGTGTGTCGTGTCGTACGTCGTATGTGTGTGTCGTGTTGGTGACATGAGTGAACGAACGAACGAGAGAGAAAGGCGGTAGCAGGTGGGTGTACCTGGAGCGTGTAGTAGATGAAGAACTGGCCGAGGCCCGAGCACACGCCGAACAGAAAGATGTACCACACGATCTCGGGGTGCCTGCCGAAGCCGACGTCAGGAGCGAAGACTAGGAAGAAATAGGACGGGAGGGGAGACGGACCTGATGGTGAAGAGGGTGGCGGGCACGGTCTCGCCGGTGACAAGCACGCCGGCGCCCATGTAGAGCACGGCCCACACGTTGGAGTAGAACATGACGTGCACGAACGTGGGCTTGGGATTATATTTCTGTTGTTCGTTGCGCAAAGTGTGAAGAAGAAGGAGAAGAAGAAGTCAGCTAAAGGGGAAGGGGGCGATCATGATGCGGGTACCTCGTAGAGTCGCTCCTGGGCGGGTCCGGTGAGACCGTCGAAGGCGAGGGAGGCCAGGAGGAGCGCATAGCCCCACATGACGCCCCACGGAGTCACGTCATCCGCGACAGCCCCTCCCTGGCGGTGGTAGCACAAGCTTCGTTAGGACCCGCGAACAAGCGAGCGGAGGCGGCCAGCGGGCGCGCACCTTGCTCTTGAACATGAACAAGGCGATGCCGGCAGTGATGAGCAGGACGCACATCCACTTGCGCCAGTTGTAGGACCTGCACTCGGTGATGATGGCGGTGACGACGATGGTGAGAAGAAACGTAAGCGCTGCGTCGCATCGCAGGAGATGGGTTTGGAGAGTAGAGAGAGAGGGTCACACCTTCCGTAGACGAGTGCGCCCATCAGCATGACCGGGATCGGTTTGCAGGACTTGCCCAACACCTGCCAACATCGAATTGTCATGGCATCACCGATCAATGTGAGCGCCCCGTGTCCTGCCCCCCCCCCCAAGGCGCGACACACGATGCGCGCGGGCACATTCACGTCGGGGTGTCTTGTATAACGCACCTGGGTCGGGTAGTCCACGAACTGGAGCGAGCTGTTGGAGCAGAGCATGGCCAGCACGTACGTAAGCGAGATCCACGCATACTGGTACAGGTCACATGAAAGAACACAACGTCAGCACCACCAACACGCGCTCTGTGTGTGCGGTGTGTGTGCGATGTGCGCGTGCGGTGTGTGCGGTGTGTGCGGTGTGTGCGGTTATCATTTGTGTGGTGGGAATTGTACCTCGGTGAAGGGGACCTTGTCCTTGGGGGCTTGCTTGGTCCAGAGCCGGTTGAATCCCAGCACTGCGGACACGGCGACACAAAGCAGCAGCGACGAGTGAGGGTGAGCAGAGCTCGATCGCATACGAGCGCAGCCAGCAGTGCAGTGCAGTACCGATGAGAGCAAAGAGGGCGTTGAGGATGCACTGCAGGCAGACCAGGAAGAACATGAAGTCGAAGCGCTCTCCGTTCGGCCCAAACGGGGTGGTCGTCCTACGCGCCACCAACCGCCGCGGTGTAAGGCGGTGCCACCCTCAAGAGCCAAAAAAAAACAAAACAAAAAAACAAAACAAAACAAAAAAAAGTCGAGCAGGCAGCAGAGGGGGAGCATGTACACGCGCTCTTGCACGATGCCGTAGAGGAGGTAGAATACGTAGATTCCGCTCACCCCAATCAACATCTCCACCTCCTTCGCCATCTTCGCCGGATTGAATTAAATCACACAATAAAATTAAATCCTCTTAGTTGCGCAAATCGTGTGGAATGGAGGATGTGGAAGAGGGCGAATCGATTCGAGGTGCCAGGGGCTGAGGCAATCCAATTCCACTCTTCCAGACAAGGATCGAGATCTCAACAATGTTTGCTTCGTCTTGTTTGCTGGTGCGTTGGCAGCGCCTCATTGGTCGAAGAAAAGGTGTAAGAAAAGGAGAGGAAATGATATTTCCTGTGCCAGAGAGCTGGAAAAGACGAAAGAGATTGCAGCGACAAGAAGCAGCACGGCTAGATTTGAATCGACATTTGTTCACATCCCAACATGGCGGAATGGTTTCAATCGATGGCGGAATGGTTTTGGCCACGTTTCGATCCCAACAAATGGTACGGCGCTGCGCATTCGCTGTTGCATCACCGCCACCTGATCGCTTCCCCTTCCTCTGTGCAGCAAGCTCTACCTCAAATCCGCAGTCGTTCGTATGAAGTACGTCTCTCTTTATTTTATTTTTGCATTTTGTCCTTTTTTAATATCATTTTGTTTTTATTTATTTATCTTTAGATCTATTTCTCTTCTTTACTACCCACGCGCTTGGCACTACACTGCAGCTTGAAGAAGAAGAAGGGCCAGGAGCAGAACAAGCTGGCGGAGAAGGAGATCAGCGAGCTGGTGAAGCAGGAGAAGGACGAGATGGCCCGACTCCGGGTCGAGCAGCTGGTGCGCGAGCAGCGGCTGCTCGAGGCCTACGACGTGCTGGAGCTCTTCTGCGAGATCGTCGTCACGCGCCTCCAGCTCATCAACATGTACCCGTGCGTGACTCACCTTCCACAGACGCGTGTGTTGTCGTGCGTGTCTTCCGTGCGTGCGGTCGTGTGCGTGTCCTGACCGCTCGTGTTGCGACTGACCACAGAGAGATCCCCGATGACTTGGCGGAGGCCGTGCACACGCTGACGTGGGGTACTACTCGATCTGACCTGCGACACCCACTCCTCTTTAAGGTGGCTGCTAGGCGCTCAACTCTTCGCTCGATTTCCCGTGTGTGTGTCGTGTGTGTCGTGTGTCGTGTGCCGTGTGCCGTGTGCCGTGTGTCGTGTGCGGCGCAGCGTCGCTTCGTGTGGCGATCCCCGAGCTCAAGCAGGTGGCCAACCAGTTCAAGCTCAAGTACGGCGAGGAGTTCCTCAAGGCGGCGCTCGACAACACCTCCTGCTATGTCAACGAAGAGGTGCGCTCACACCCCCGCACTAACTTTGAGGCATCACGCCGGCGGCCATGGATCTCACCGCACACACCGCACACCGCACACGCACAGTTGATGGAAAAGCTGTCGGTGTGCTGCCCCGAGAAGGACTTTGTCGAGGAGGAGTTTTTCCGCCTCTCGCCCGTGCCCGACAAGACCACGCAGCTCGAGTTCGCTTCGTTCGGCCAGGACGGGCCATCATCGATGCCACCGATGCCGTCCACCACCGATTGCTGCCCGCCAGCCGGCGGCGCGCCCATGCCCATGCCCATGCTGCCCCAGCAGCCGCTGCCCCAGCCGCAGCACTTCTCCACGGCGCCGGCGCCGGCGTCGACTTACGGGCCGCCGCCGCAGCCCACGCCGACGGCGATCCCGCCCTACGTGCCGCCCGACCTGGACTTTGGCGACTGGTCGTCGCCGCTCGGTCCGTCCGCCTTCCCGCACCTACCCAGGCCGGCGCCCTCGCACCAGGCACCACCGGGGATGCCTGCCCCTGCTATCGGAGACGTCTTCGGCCACATCGACCCGTCGCTGCAGGTACACACACACACGCCAACCACACGCACACGCACCAACCACCGTACGACACGCACACGCACACCGTGCTGTGCGCTAACGCTTTGGGTCGGCCTCAACAGTTCCCGCCCATCCCCACGGACAACCCGGACCCGGCATTCGTTTCACCCACGCCCCCCACCGCCGGTAAGCACCCGCCACCGTCATCCCCCCCCCCCAAATTCGTTCTCTCAGCCCCCTCGCACTACGATCGTCTCACGCCGCCCTTCGTTTTTGCGTAGCGGGCGACGAGGAGTTTGACGAGCTGAGCGCTCGCTTCGAGGCCCTCAAGAGAAACCTCTGAGCGCAGGTCTCCCGCAGGCCAACCTCTCTGTTCATACGCGTGTGATTTTTTTCTCTTTATTTTGTTACTTGTACAGGAAACACATCACCATTCGCTCTGTAGTTACTACTTACACCAAACCCACATCCCCGTGGAGACTCTTCACTCGCCCGTGTGCGGCCTGCTGCGCGTGCGTGTGTGCGTGTGCGGCCGCAGGGATCGGGTTCAGGCGGAGGCTTCCTTGCGCTGCTCGGAGGGCGGCTTGTTGACCTCGACCATGTAGCAGGGCTTGCAGAACACGCGACCGGCCACCGAGCAGTAGAGCTTGGGGTCGAGCTTCTTCTTGCAGTCCACGCACACGAAGCACACCTTGTGGAACACCAGCTTCCCGGCCGGCTGCCGCTCCATCTTGTACACCCTCTTCGCGCAGTTCTGACACCGCTCATCCGCATTTTCTATCACGACACACCACAACACACGTCAGCCACACCGCACACGACACGACCAACGACACGACACGACACACGCAGAGGAGCGGCGAACCGTTGGTGGGTGCGAAGCCGGTGGAGCGGGGCGAGGCGGGGGCGGGCGAGCGAGGGGAGAGGACGCGCGGGGAGGCCGGCGGCGGGGCCTCGACCTCCTCCTTGCACAGGTGGATGATCTCGTTGTCGTGGGTGCGCTCGAAGAGCACGTCGGGGCCGAACGACACGACGCCCCACTTCTTGGCCGTCTTGAGCGTGCCACTGAGGGCCTCGAACTGGTGCGTCGTCTCCTTGAACAGCGGACCAAACTTGACGTAGATCCTCTGTAGAACACACCGCACACACCGCACACACCGCACACACCGCACACACCGCACACACCGCACACTCGGGAGGTGAGGGGAATGCAGAGCGAGGAGGGCCAACGGGAAGTGGAACGCACCTTCTGGGGGTCGATGCGGTCGACGGTGCCGCGCTCCTTGATGGCCTGCACGAGCTTCTTCACCTCCTTCACCGTCCACTCCTGCGCCGCCGTCGCGCGGCTGATCGTGTCGTGTCGTGTCGTGTCGTGTCGTGTCGTGTCGTGTCGTGTCGTGTCGTGTCGTGTCGAGGCGGTGAGTGCGAGTGTCGTGGTGCGGGCGAAGAAGGAAAGAGGAGGTCGGCGGGGGGGGGCGTACTCGGTGCTCTTCTGTTCGAGGGCGTCCTGGTTTTGCTGGACCCGCTGCAGGAACTGCGCACGCGCCTGACCAGAGCTCGGGGAGAGACCTGACCAAGGTAGGAAAGTGTGTTCAGAACACGATGGCCCTCCATCACTTCATCGTCACTGACGTTCGCTTCGATCTTTGTTTCCATGGAATTGGAGTGCAAGGATTGAAGTTCAAAAGTAAAAAGGGCACAAGCCTTCAAGAAAACGCACCAGGTTCATCTTGCATGTTGTGGATATCTTTTTGAGTGTTATTTTTTGTTATTTTTTTTGTCTTATTTTTTTTTTGGCCTGTGGTTGGCTGTGTGAGCCAAATTAAGACAACCCACAGACCGCCACCTTAATTTTTTTTTTCAGACTCAGAGACTCTGGACTTGGTCTGCTGTTTAGCCTTTGGCTGCATTGGAAAGTTAAGCACCCAGGACACACTCAAGTTGTGGGTGAACAAGGATCTTTGTGTGTTCTTACCCACAGAGAGCGCAGCTCTCACTGCTTCCACCTGTTACTTGGCAAATGCGAGAACAGAAAATCGCTAAATGAATTAGTTCTCTCTTAGGTTTTTATTGCCAACCAGAGAGAGTGGACAACTAAAAATAGTGACCAATGTCTGCAGGCTGCACGAGGTGCCAGTAGTTTTTCAAAAAACAAGGGTTGACCGAATGGCAAATCAAACGAGTTTGCTGCGGCGAAAAGCGCTTCTTGTTGCCTTCACCTCCTTGACCCCACTCCCACCATCTTCTGCCGCGCCCCGATCAACGGTTTCGTTACTCGCACCTTGAATAGAACTTCATCAATCGACGAAAGAGCGAACTAAGCTTCGACTCACAGAAAATATAAAGAAGAACGATGGCCATGTACAAGATTGTAGTTCTGGGCGAAGGCGGTATGGATATACCCCTCCACCCTTCATCCATCTCCACCCACTGTTTTCCTTCGTCTTCATTCTTTCAGTCGTTTCTTTGTTGCCGTTGCCACCAGGCCTATTTTTATTTTCGCTTATTTTTGCCCCCCCTCCAACATCATCTTCGCTTCTTCTGCTCCCCCCCAAATCCCTTTTCGTTTCGCTCTTTCAGTTCCCCCAAGTTCATCTCCGTGAGTCTAAGTGCCCCCCCCCCGCCGAGAAAACGAAGCCTAACTCCAAACGCGTTTCGTTTTCATCTTTTTTCTTTTTCTTCTTTGGTTTTGCATTTTGTGATGGCTGCAGGCGTGGGCAAGAGCGCGTTGACGATTCAGTTCACGCAGAACTACTTCGTGAAGGAGTACGACCCCACCATCGAGAACTCCTACCGCAAGCAGGTCACCATCTCCGACGAGGTCCACATGCTCGTACGCCCTCCTCTCCACCGCCGCTCTTCGTCTTCTTTCTTCTCTTCGTCTTCTCTCTTTTGAACGTGCGCCGCTCACACTGCTGTGCCTTGGCGTGGGTGCGTGTGGTGGTTGTGTGAGTGCAGGACATTCTGGACACGGCCGGTCAGGAGGAGTACAGCGTGATGCGGGACCAGTACATCCGATCAGGCGGTGGCTTCATCTGCTGCTACTCGGTCGCCTCCAAAGAGGCACAGACCCGATCCACGCTTCCGCCCAGCCCGCGTGTGGCACTTGTCACTGACCGCCGCGCGTGTCGTGTCGTGTCGTGTTGTGTGCGTGTCGTGTCGTGTTGCGTGTTGTGTTGCGTGTTGTGTTGCAGTCATTTGAGGCGATGCACGACTATCGCGAGCAGATCCTGCGCGTGAAGGACTCTGACACGTATCCGATGATCCTGGTGGGCAACAAGTGCGATCTGCCGGACGACCTGCGCCGAGTGAACACCTCCGACGGCAAGGAGCTCGCCAAGAAGTTCAACTGCCACTTCTTCGAGACGTCCGGTTCGTTGTCCCTGTTTCTGTTTCCTTCCTACGATGTGTGCGTGTGCGTCGTGCGTGTGCCCTGACAAAGTTTGAAAAACGACACACACACAACGCACACAGCCAAGACGCGACTCAATGTTGAGGAGTGCTTCGAGCAGCTCGTCAAGGAGATGAAGTCCTGGCGGGAGAAGAAGAACAACAACACCTCCAGCGTACGTCGTGTCTCGACCCTCATTCCTTCATTCTTCTGGGCCGCCGGCGCTCACAGTATTTTGGTGGTGCAGGGCGGCATGGCGGCGTCGCCCAGCAGCGGCAAGAAGTCGTGGGGACAGAAGCTCAACAAGATGATGGAGGGCAAGAGCTGTGTGCTTCAATGAAGACTACACGTGTGCAAGGAAGTGGGGTAAGAAGGACAATCAGCAACAACAGTGAGTGTATTATATTCTAGAGATTTTGTGACTTCTTTCTTTTGATTCATTCTACACCCCACAACCTGTCAATGCTTCATCACATCTTGTTCTTGTCTTCTTTCAAACTCAAATCACCATCGGAGTTATAAACAGATGCGCCACCTTAAATGAGGCATCAATTTGGAGCGGACACCCTCACGAGGGGGCACATCCGCAGAAAGTTTGTGGGATTCAAAACGGAGCCAATCAGCTTACCATCAACACGGCCCAACGGCAGCAGCAACAGGAGTGGTGAGGGTGGAAGACACGCGGGGCGTCACACGCGCACGCACGCGGCCTCTCCCGCCAAAGACCTAATTTTTTATGGACCACTACCTCCCCAGCACCACCTGCACCGATCGCCACCTCCTTCACCTCTCCACCTCGACCTCTCGCATTTGACCCGAACTTGAGCGCCTCCAGCATCACTTCTTGTACGCCCTCTTCGCTCTTGTTCTCTCGTTCTTTTTCTTCTTCCTCGCTTTAGTTCTTTCTTCGCTTTTTTTTGTTAGTCTTGAGTTGACCCGTCATCGAATGATGCAGGACCCAAGTACATCACGTCGCCCAACGAACTTCGCGTTGTGGTTCGATCAGATGAGGTCTCCTTCCCGCACCACTTCTGCCTCCGCTGGCACGACCCCAAAGTCGCCCTCCATGTCTCGTTCACAACCACCACCATCACCTTCACCTTCATCGTCATCATCGTCACCATTGCCACCGCTATCTCCATCATCGCCTCCTGCGTCTACGCACCCACCGCCAAACCCTGCGCCGTCGGCCTCGGCCTTCGTGTGCCTGTTGCCCGAACACGTGCGCAAGGTGGAGGACGAAGACGAACGACGCAAGCGGCTCCTCTGCATCCTCGTCCTGCTCCCCTTCATCCTCCTCTGCCTCCTCTCCTCCTTCTTCCTCCCCTCCACCATCAACCCACCACCACCCACCAACCCATCAACATTCCACACCACGCCAACATTCCAGACCGCTACATTTTCATTCTTTGAATTCCTGAGCTGGGCCTCACTCGTCGTAGTGTGCGGGCTGCTGGGCCTGGTCGCGCTCCGCCGCGGCGCCCACTACGCCACCACCCTCGGCCTCGCCCTGTGGTCCAACTTCGCCGTTCTCTCCCTCTGCTTCCACTACGGCTTCGTCCCCGAACTCTTCTGCGTGCTGGCCGCCCTCCCGCCACTCCTCTTCTTCGTGTTCGGCCGCTTCGCCGGCGCCTGCGCGCTGGCCACGGTGCTGCTCGAGGGCGCCCTCTTCCCGCACGTCGCGTCGCTGATCGCAGGCCTGACTGCTGCGTCGTCTGCGTCGGCGGCGGCCACGATCGGCCACGAGTCGCGGCCGCCGGGCCTGCAGATGTCGCCGCAGGGGTCGCTGGCGGTGGGGCTGGCGGTGGCCTACGTGGTGGGTCTGACGGCCTGGCTGCAGGACGGGTCGCGGGCGGCCTATCGGGACAAAATGCGGGCCATTGTGCTCCAATCGGAAGCCGCCAACCGCGAGCTGCAACAGGCCACCGCCGCCAAGTCCAACTTTCTTGCCAACATGAGCCACGGTACCCCCCTCCGCTCCACAGGCCTTTCCCCTGTTCTCTAACCGCACACGCGCGTCGCACACACCGCACACGCACACGCATACCGCACGCACCGCACACGCACAGAGCTGCGAACGCCGTTGCATGGGATCACGGCGATGGCGCGGGAGCTGCTGGAGACGCTGTCGCCGCGCAACCCGGCGCGGGAGTGCGTGGAGATCATCTCGGACAGCAGCGAGCACATGCTGGGCCTGGTGAGCGACATCCTCGACTTTGAGCGGATCGAGAACAACCGGCTCGACCTGGAGTCGATCCCGTTCTCCATCCTCTACGAGGCCGACAAGGCCATCACCATCCTCAGCGTCGCCGCCAAGCGCAAGGGCATCAACGTCGACAAGGTACGCACAGCACACACCGCACACACCACACACACCGCACACGCACATGCATGACCGCACACACTGACGAATGTCATCAGGACTATCGAGTGGCGCTGCCGATGCACGTGGGCGATCCGCTGCGGTTCAGGCAGATCCTGTTTAATCTTGGTGCGCCACACACGACACGACCAACGACACGACACGACACGACACGACACGACACGACACGACACGACACGACACGACACGACACGACACGACACGACACACGCACAACACACGACTAATGACAATTTTAGTGAGCAACGCGATCAAGTTCACGCCGGAGGGCGGCCGGGTGACGGTGCGGATCGTTAACGACGAGAAGGAGGAGGAGCTCATCACCGTCGAGGTCAAGGACACCGGCATCGGCATCGCCGAGGAGCACAAGTCGCACCTCTTCAGCGTACGCCTCATCGCACACACGACCGCACACGCACACGCACACACCGCACACGCACACACCGCACACAGTGCTGACCGTGTGCCACGGCACGCGCAGTGTTTCTCGCAGGTGGACAGTTCGATCAGGCGGCGCTACGGCGGGAGCGGCCTCGGGCTGGCCATCAGCAAGCGGCTGTGCGAGGCCATGGACGGCGACATCGGCTACCAGTCCACCTTCGGCCAGGGCTCCACCTTCTTCTTCTCCGTGCGCCTCCCGGTCTTCGCCCCGCCGCCGGGCGTCGACGACTACTGCGAGTGGGCACCCTTTAACGCCTCGAGTTCGATTCCCGTCGCACGCTCGTCGTCAGGCAAGTCGTCGACGACGGCTAAGACGATGATGAACCGCAAGAAGACCTTCTCGTCGTCGATGCTGCCGACGCTCTGCTTCCCGCTGTCGCCCACACCGTCGTCGTCGTCGCTGGCAACTGCGTCGTCGTCGCGCGTCATACCCAAGTCGCCGTCGGCCTCGTCGATCGTCACCATGGACTCACATTCTTCCCCCCTCGCCGCCCCAGTCACCCGGGCGCGGCGGCGGCGGCGGCGGCAGCGCGTCGTCGTCGGCCAGCCACTTTTCGGTGTCGTCCCTCTCCGCCTCGCTGCTGACCTCGCTCTCGTCGCCCTTCTCGTCGCCGTCGCCCTCCTTCTCCAACCTCGGCTCCTTCTCGTCGTCGCCGTCGCCGTCGGCCTCCTTCACCTCGTTCGGCTCCATCTCGTCCCTGTCCAACTCCACCTCGCTCTCGGCGATCGTGTCGAGCCCGCGCATGCTGCTCGAGGGCGCGCGCATCCTGCTCGTGGAGGACAACGAGGTCAACCAGAAGGTGGCCAAGCGCATGCTCCACTGCCTCGGCTGCCAGGTCACGGTGGCGGGCAACGGCGAGGTGTGCCTGGCCGTGCTCGACGAAGCCACCGAGCCCTTCGACGTCATTCTCATGGACTGCCAGGTACATATATACAACCGCACACGCACATCGCACACACCGCACACGCCATCGCACGCACCACACGCGACTCACACCGCGCTCGCTCAGATGCCGATCTTGGACGGGTTCCACGCGACGCTGAAGATTCGGGAGAAGGAGAAGGTGACGGGCATCCCGCGCACGCCCGTGGTGGCCCTCACCGCGTCGGCCACCAAGGAGTACCAGCAGAAGTGCTTCTCCGTCGGCATGGACGACTTCCTCTCGAAGCCCTTCACCAAGACCATGCTCGCCCGCATCCTCAAGCGCTGGATCGGCACCCGCGGCGTCACCCCCGTCACCACGCAGGACTGAACTCGTTCGAACCACGCACAACACACAACAACGACTAGGATGACATGCCACACAGTTTTGTAAATACAACATAAAGAAGTGTACACACCACACCGCACATGACACGCACACGCACACGCACACGCACACGCACGACCAACGACACGACACACGCCAAACGTTTTACAAAAAGTGTAGTATACTCTATTATGGCAACAATAATTTGACCCCAAACTTGAAGCGGCTAAGCTCGAGAAGAAGATCTTTCGTAGCCACTTGCTTGCGCTTATAAAACGGCGGCGGCGGTGGGTGAGGAGCGTTGAGCTGACTTAGGTGTGGTACATCTTGAAATATTTTGACTCCTTGTGGACCTTCTCCATGAGGTACTCGGCTGCTGTCTTTCCCACCGCCTGCACCCACCGCACACCACACCTGTCAGTCACCGCACGACACGACACACATGACACACCACGCACCGCACACGCACACACGCAGCGCACAAACGAGGGGGGGAGCGGAACCTTGGGCTTCTCTTCGATCTCACCGGCGTCGAATTCGCCGTAGACGATTTCCTCGTCTTCCTCCTCCGCAGGCTCATCGCTCTCGCTGCTCTCCTCCTCGCTGTTGTTGTTGTCCTCCTCGCCCTCGCCCTCGTCCCTCTCGCCCACCTGATCGAACGTGATCTCCTCCTCTTCCTCCTCCTCCTCGTCATAGTACTCTCCCTCTTCGCCATCTGCGCCATTGCACGCCCCCCCCCAAGCGTCAGTCAATGCCGCGTGTGTCGTGAGGCGTGTGTTGTGTGTAGCGTGGCGCGTGTCGTGTGTGGCGTGTCGTACCATCTTCTTCGTCGGAGAATTCGCCCTCGTTCAATATCAACTCCGGGATCTCCTTCCTGATCCATTCGATCCAATCGATCTTGCGGAGCGGCTCCTTGGTCTTGGCCTGCGCCAGCCGCAGCTCCTTCTCCTTCGCCTTCTCCTGCTCCTTCTTCTTATAGACCTGCGCCACACAACAATCGTAAGCTTCGCACACGCATACCACACACGCATACCGCACGCGCCGCACACGCATACCGCACGCACGCACGCACGCACGCACGCACGCACACACACCGCACACAGCAGACAACGCAGGAGACGAACCTGGAACATGAGATCGGCGTAGCGATCGTCGCGGCCGATGGCGGGATCGATGAACGGGGGCTTGGTGACCCAGGTGTGGAAGTGGCGGGTGAACTCGACCTGCTCCTCGCCGTCCTCGGTGGCGATGAGGGGCACGTAGATCTTGCGCCGCGTGGCCATCTCGCGCACGTAGCGGTTGGCAAACTCGAGCACCTGCTTGTACTGCGACTCCGACGCCGACTTGCCCAGCCACACGTAGACCTCGTGGTACGTGTCCAGCAGGTACACGTTGGCCAGGTTCAGGTCCGTCTGGAAGAACTCGTACACCTCGCTCACCTCCAGACGACCTGTTGTGACCACGTCAGTTGTCGTGCGTGTGCGGTGTGAGTGCGTGTGTGCGGTGTGCGTGCGGTGTGGCAGCGTACCGGTTTGGTTGGAGAAGCAGAAGAGGCGGGCCTTCTCGCGGTACTTCTGGAGGAACTGCTGGTTGCACACGTAGTCGGACCAGCCGCCGAGCAGGTTCCAGAAGGCGGGCACCTCCTCGCCCTCGTCGAACACCTCGAGCGTGCGCTTGCCCTGCAGCAGGTCCGGCACCTTGAGAATGGCCGTCGAGTCCTCGAATCCCGTTCCCTTACCATACCTGCGCGCCTCACGTAAGTACCGTGTGTCGTGTCGTGTCGTGTCGTGTCGTGTCGTGTCGTGTCGTGTCGTGTCGTGTCGTGTGTCGTGTCGTGTCGTGTCGTGTCGTGTCGTGTGTGTGTGTGTGTCGTGAACGCGTACCAAAGGTAGAGGTAGTCTTGCGTGAGGAGGACGAAGGCGTCCTTCGAGTTGAGGGACGACACGACGGCCTTCACCTGCACGGTGTGCGTGATCTCCTCCGTCGTGCGGCGGATGTGGTACAGCGCCTTCGGCTTGGGCCTAATGGACCAGCAATTAAGTGTTAACGTCAAGCGCGTTGTGTGCGGTGCGTGCGGTGCGTGTGCCGTGCCGCGTGTGGTACGCACTTGGTGAGCCTCTTCTTGCGGTGGCCCTTGTGGATGATGATGTGGCCGTTGAAGAGCTTCATGAAGTGGGGTGGCTCCTTGTGCTCCATGATGCGGATCTTCACCGGCGGTCGGCCGCCGTAGTTGAGAATCTTCTTCTCCAGCACGGGGTAGAAACCGAACAGGAACGCGGGCCACCTTTCGGTCGCACACAGAGCGTTAGTGCACTCGAGCGTTGATGCAACTTAAGAGACCACGGTAGGCGTGATGTGTACCATCGGTTGGAGGACGATCGGCCCTCCCAGAAGTAGCAGAGGTAGGCCTGCTTCATGTTGTCGTTGGGGTTGTAGAACGTGTACAGCACCAGATAGCAATCTGCGCGCGACACACACACACACACACACACACACGCACGCGCGCGCGCGCGCACACACACACACACACACACACACCGATTCATTACTATCAGTGCGTGTTCTTTCGCCGCACGCACAGACACACATGTGGCGCAAGGTGCCGCGGGCGCGCGTACCGCCAGAGTAGAAGTGTCCTCGCTCCTCGGCGGGGAGCTTGGTGAAGGTGGGCTTGCCGTCTTCGATGGCCCACACCTCGACGCTGCCGCCGCCCTCGTCCACGAACGGCTCCTGTGGTGGCTTCCTCAAGTTCACCACGTTGTCTGCACCCACCCAACCGACCACCCAACCAACCAACCGAGCGATCATATAACATTAACAACTCAGCTTTGTCACATTGCAGTGCTGTGAGTGGTGGTGGTGAAGTCGCGGCCACGTACCGATGGAGATCTTGGGCCAGGGCTCGGAGGGCGCGATGCGGTAGTGGGACATCTGCGCGGTGGCGTAGTTGGAGGGGAGCGGCGCGAAGAGCTCGGCGCACCAGTCGGGGAACTTGGCGATGAACGCCGACGGCTCAAAGTTCTGCGTTGTGCAGCACACAACGAGCTCAGCGCACGCGCGCGAGGGGGAGGCCGTGCGGTAGGTGGGGGGATCCATGGGAGGGTGGTCGGTACCTCGTAGATGATGTTGATGGGCGTCCACGAGGGGCGGCCCTCCTTGTTGACTTCATCCCTAAAGCGGCGAGCCGCGGCCTTCGCGATCTGTCGCTGGAGGAGGGACGACCCATGACCGATCCACACGAACAGCTCCCTGCGCATGTCGTGTGTGTGTTGTGTGTGTGTGTGTGTGTGTGTGTGTGTGTGCGCGCGCGCGTTGTGTGTGTGTGCGTTATGTGTGTGTCGATGTCAGCGAATTCTTGTGAGAAAAGTTCTTCACACTCGCACGTACGTGAAGGCGTCCATGATGACCGCTGCCGAAGGGTGGAGCATGCTCCTGGACAGGGGGCCAGTCTCGCCGCCCTTCCTGATCACCGCAAGCCTCGGCCGACCCGTCTCTCTGCACCCCCCCCCGCACGTGACACTCTCCGCGTAAGCCGGCCATGCACGCCGGCCGCAAGCGCTGGTGTGGAGGGGGGGTCAAGTGTACGGGTCGACGGCGGTCTTGCACAGGAGGATGTCGTCGACAACCTCGGGTCCCCTCTCGGGCACGGGTCCCTCCAAGGGCTCCCGCATGTAGTCCCAGAAATTGCGCCACTCGGAGCCGTCCTCCTCGCGCCCGGCGTCCTCGAACCCTTCCTCCAGCACGCGGATCTTGCTGCCGCAGCCTGCAACGATCATTTGGGAGGCGGCATGAGACACGGCACGGCGGTGGCAACAGTGGTGTGGCGACGGTGGTGTGGCGACGGTGGTGGTGGGGTGGTGGTGGTTGGGGGAGAGCACGTACTCCTCTCGTATCTGTTGATGCGGGTGCAGATCTCGTGGCCCTTGAACTGCAGAGCGCGCTCCGATCGAGAACCTGTCAACATTACGCCCCCCCCCAAATTGGGTTAGGGTCGAATACAGAGTGTGCGGGGGGGGAGGCCAAGGGGTGGTAACGTACCGTTCCACTGGAAAATGTAGCCGTCGGTGCCGCCGTCCAAGACGAAGACGTCGGTCGAGTTGAGCGACAGGGCGGAGAGGCGGACCTGGCGCATGGAGAAGTAGCGTTGGCGACGCTTGCCCACCACTGCGGCGTTGCTGCTGCTGCTGGACGGCGGGGCGTCGCCCGACGGCTCGGGCACCGGCGCAAAGGCGAGGCGGTAGAAGCGGGGCTCCTGTGAGAAGGGCAGGGTGGGCTTGAACGCCGACTCGGTGCCGCCGTCGTCCTGGTAGTCGATCTGCCAGCCAAACAGCTCCATGAAGTCGTCCGACTCGTCGTACTGCGACTCGCGCACGATCATCGCCTTGCTGTTGAGGAAGATGTTCAGCTCACGCGACCGGAAGGCCGCCGCGCCCTGCTTGTCCACCGTGGACTGTATATCACAGAAAACACAACAAGTTCGACAGCGAGCGCGTCGTCAGTCAGGCGTGCGTGTGCGGTGGTGCGTGTGCGGTGCGTGTGCTAAGACTCGGCCAGCGGCGAGTACCTTGGCGCCCATCCAGGTGAAGATGGTGAACTTCTTGGCCTTCTCCATCGACGTGATGTGGAGGATGACGTAACAGTCCTCGGAAAAGAACCTGGCGGGTCGTGGCGGCTTGCACTTGAGGTCGGGGTAGTCGTCGTCGTCAATCTCCAACGGAATGAAGTACTCCACGCGCCAGATGTAGAGTCCGGGATCCTCCGACGCGCACTCGCCAAAGAGCTCGTCGTACGCCGCGTCCTTGGCTGCAACGTGTGCGTGTTGTGTGTGTGTGTGTGTGTGT